ACCCTCACCATTCCACTTATAGATCAAAACACAAACACAACCAGACATGGAAGATATTGGCAGCTCCATGTGACCTGAAGAAGAAAGTAGAACATTGCAGATTGCTTCAGTTTTATTTGAAGCAATTGATCAACGAGGAGAGAAAATTTTCAAACTTCATCTTAGAAGTACCTTGGCTGAAACTTCTTCAGATTTCTTAGAAATGAACATGACTTTATACTTGAAAAACAGAAGAGCGGAATTTTGCTGCATAATTTGCTCCAACATCTCATTCAATTTAATCAAAGTTGCGAGACAACATATGAATCAAAAATTAGAAAAAAATAATGGATCTGCTCTCTAGAACTATTGCCAACGCCGATTAATGGATCTGCACTCCCAGAAACTCAAATCCCCGACACCACTGTAATCGTTGTGTCATTTCCAACGAAAACCAGCAAAATATAGACCCCAATTTAACACCAATTCAACACAAAATAATACAATTTAGCTAGGAATCAATAATCCAAGCGGTAAACTTGATTGATTGAATTGAAATTACAAAAAAAAATCCTTTGGATCTGCACTCCAAAATTTTCAAATTGCCGATATTGCCAAAAAGTAAAATCACCGAATAATGGATCTGCGACGGAACCGAAACCACTTTACTCAGTGACGTTCAAATCGCACGACGCTTACATCAAGCAGGTTGCTGTAGTGGTGCGGCGGCGGTGACCGTCTTGAGGGGTGGTGCGGCATCTTCCCAACTGTCACGACACTACTACTTAAGAGCGGCGTCGCTCGGTGGTGGGGTCTTCAGAGCGGCGGCGACAGTGTCTTTGCAACAGTCCGACAATGGTGGCAATACTGTAGACGGGATTGGGGATAGAGAGAGATGAGCGAGGGATAGAAAGAAAGAAAATAATATAATTAATCATCTCATTGATCACCTGAATTTTGAAATGTAAACTTTATCACCTGAATTTTGAACTGTAAACTTGAAAGGAAGGGTTTGAGGTAATTTTCTCATTTATAAATTAAAAAAAAAAAAGAGGAAGACTCCTACTTGGGCTCGGACTTGGAGACATGGAAGAATGGGAGCCCTTTTGGAGTTAAACATTGGCGGCTGTAATATATATATACGCACACGCAACTAGGGAGATTTAAAGAGGAGATAAGCAGAATATATACGCACACGTAGGTAGAGAAGAAAGATGACAGTGCCGACATGAAGAGAAAAATTCCAATTTTTCATGCAAAATTCATGAACAATTTTTGCAAGGAATTTGGAAATTATTCACGTTTTGTCAATTTATCTTGATAATGTCATTTAAACTTTATTTATTTAATTCCAACGTTATACTAGGCTAAATTATTTTGTATTAAGATTACAATAAATCTTATATCACGAACTTTAATTTTTAAATCTTATTCAATTTTGACATTTAAAGCACGTTTTCAATTATCGAATGATTGACATGGATTTAATTTTCTCTACAATTATATACGTGATAATTGTATGAGTTTTATAACTTATTTTACCTTCGAAAGACTGAAAATAAGTTGTCGTATAGCATAGTTTTTAAACTCAACCAGTTGATAGACCCTGAAAAATCATCAGATTTACGGGGTTAGTGGTTCAACCGATGGGTCATTGCTTGATTTTAATTTTAATTAAATTGTATTTTTGAAATAAAAGGAAACCATTTTCCAAAATATAATATATATGTTTTGCTCACATTAATGGACAAAGAACCATAGGCTGTCACAGTGGTCGTGGAGTTGAAAATTTCCCTTCATTGTCCAAGGTTTGAATCCTAGCTCCAGCACATTTAGCATAAAATCTTGCTTCAATTAGGTAACGGTCCCGTTTACACATTGAACCGGATCCGGTTCAACTTAAAATCGTCTAGCTTGGACCGTTAATTAGTGGTTCAAACGGTTCTTGACCGATTAATGTGCTTACTTGATAATTTAATGCACCCGGACCGAACCATGGTCCCGGTCGGCGGTTTCCAGTTTGAACAGGCCGGTCCGGTCCGGGTTTAAAAACTATGATGTATTGTGTCAATTGCAGTAAAATCTAATAGGTGATATAAATATACTGCTATACTTTACGTGATGTTTAAATATTCATACATTTTTATATGTTCGCATCCGTCATAAAAATATGGTCGGGTTATATGTAAGAATATACTTAATTCTATTCAAGAGATATTGTTAAAACAAATTACAAATATTGATCTTCATAATTGAATCGTGTTATCAAATTGTAAGAATCGAGTTAAAGGGGATTGATATAAAAGGATTTGAGATCCCACTTTTTTAATCATCATATTTTTATAAAACTTGTATTTAGTTATATTCTTATATTGATCTTAATTAATTTAGGTCTTGCATTAATAATTAGATTTTTCAATTTATAGGAAAAATCACAAATTTTAATTGTTTCGGTTAAACTTAAGTTAATTCGAATTTGAACTAGTACATTCTCAGTGAGAATGATACTTGGATTTAAAATCAATTTTATTACTTATTAACAAACCTTGCACTTGCGGTATTTTAAACGAAGAATATTTCGCAACAAATTTTTGGTGCCGTTGTCGAAGATTGTATTCAAGTTTAAATTTATTTACTTTGGTACTAATTCGAACATATTTTTTTCCCTTTTTATTTAATTTCTCTATTTCAATTTATTACGGTGCTTTTATTTTCTCTTTTTCAGGCAATTTATGCGAAGTTCGGGAGACGATGAACTGAATCCAACCAATCCAAAAATCGAAATCGAAATCGAATGCTCATTTCACCGAAGGCAATGAGAAGTAAGAGAAGTGCAAAACATAGAGATGGGTAATGCACAAAATAATTTGGTTATCCAAGTGAATGAAGAGGCAGTGGTCAATGAAGGGAATGTGCTAGTTGGGGACTTTGTGACTGCACAAATTATTCAGAGCCAATCTAACAACGTTTATCCTCCCTTTGGGCAGTCAAACTTTCAGTTGAAAAATAATGTCATCCATTTATTTCAGAATGGACATTAATTCTATGGCAGGGATAATGAAAGTCCACACACATCTCTCGATTTTTGGAAGTGTGTCAACACTTTAAATATCAAAGGGTTTTAGACGTTGCTATTAGGTTGTGATTATTCCCACATACTCTACAAGATAGAACGCTTGAATTGTTAGACTTACAGCCTATTACCCGTATCACCATTTGAAAAGACTAAGCCAAAAAATTTTGCACAAAATTCTTTCCCCGTCGAGATAGCAAAGTTGAAGCATGACATCCATACTCCGTCAAGGAGAAATCGAATCCTTTGATGAGACTTGGAACATATTTAAGAACATGTTACGGAAGTGTCCTCATCACGGTATTAGCAAAGGGCCCCAGGTCCAATATTGTTATGCAGGTGTATTTCCATCCTACAAAAGCATGGTTGACTCATCATCAAGTAGCTCCTTATTCACAAAGACAATTGATGAAACCTTGAAGTTTTTTTGAGCGAGTTGTTTATAGGAAGGCATTGGGAGTGTATGAGGTGGACACTTATACAACATTATCTACAAAAATTGACTCTTTGGTTCATAAGGTTTAGAACATGTCACAGTCAGTCAATGTAGTACAAGCCAAGCCGCCAAGTTGAATTAAGGTTGAGAGCATGTCTCTTATATTTTAAATTCTTTTTTCATATGTTATAATTAGCGAGTACTACCTATACTTAATTTTTATAGAATAGTAACCAAAAAACTTAAGCTCTAATGCTACCATCTATATTTGAATCAACAACTCACTTTTTTATGTAATGGAGAAGACGGTCGAGATACACTACTGAAAGGCTTCAATAAAACAAATAGAGACTACCTAGAAAGTAAGGAAGGCAAGATGATCAACTAACTCACAACATTGATAAAACGATTTAAAAAATATGATCATTCCGCTATATACATCTCGATATCATTTTTCTTTGCCTTCAATTACTATATTTGAAGATGACTTATAAATTTTATGACGAACGCTGTCAACCAATCATAATTGCCCATTCAAAAAATCATACTGATAATAACTTATAATTTTGTGATGAAAGCAATAAATGTTCCATTTTTTCTTCAACCGTTATTTAAAAAGACACTAACCAACCACTCCTTTTTGGCCTTCTCTTTGTTCAATTTCGTTTCTTTTTCCCAAATGGCTCAAAGCAATTCAAGAGCATTCAATTTCGTGAATGAAAGTGAAACTATTTTTTATTCCTATAATTATTCTTTAATTACATGATGTCTTTATTTTATCCCCAGATTCCCCACAAACAATTAACAATAATTCACCAATCCAGTGTCAGATTTTTATATAGATAAAAAAATCTGGTGCATGAAAGAAACTTCCAAGAAATCTCCTCAATGTGTTGAAGTTTATCTTGTATTACATCCATCAACGATCCCCGTTTTCTCCACCATTGGTTTTTTATTCCCTTTTGTCATTGTCAACGAATATGATAGATAAGCTAAAAATAAATTATCGAACTTTCCCTATTTAGTCTATGTTTTGAATTATATGAGAGTAGACTCTTTCAAGATCAATTCTCTCTGTTTCTTGAATTGTTATCAACTTATTTTTGGTGGGCTTTGCTTAATTTCACCTGGATTATCTTCATTAAAGACTTGCGTTCTGGAATTCCAACGGGTTATATTAAATAGGTAAAGCCTTTCTAATTCCTATGCATGAATTTTATTTTATTTTCCTCCTGAGATAGCACGGCATTTAGATTATTTTTTTTTGTGTTTCAGGAGGCCTAATTGGTATGAAATCTTGAATTTGGGTTTCTGGAGTTTGTTTCAAATGTTATGAGTAATCTTGATTTGGGAATTCTTTATATATGTGAAGTTGATTATTTGTTCGCCTGAATTTGTTGGCTCTTATTATTATTTGTTGCTTTTTTTGAATAAGAAGTGTACAATATTGAAATTTGTTTGTAATTATTGAGGTTTTTCGGATTGGTTAATGAATGACAATTGAGGATACTTATGGAGCTTAATCATATAGATGGTGGAGGAGAGGAAATAGATAGAGAACCCTCTTTACCTTATAATTTTAGGGAAAATTGTTATCCTCATTCGCGTTATCCTGTGAGGCAAAGGGCTTACATATTTGATGGAGATGGGAATTACTATAACAAGGAATGGGACCTTGTAGAAGGTAGAGGTAAAGAGTTCTGTTGGTACCATGTCGAGCTCCCTAAAGGGAATCAGAGACTGTCACAATCCGCGCAATACCTTATTGATGTTCTATGCCCGCCCTTGAAGCTCCAGGACATTCTCTCACTTATTAGTAATGGACCCTTTTGTGGGCACGTCGATGGTGCTCTTGTATTCAGAGTTAATTCACCTGGCCCAGCTTCTAGCAAATTTACATTTAGAATTGCAGCAAGAATTACTGAGAATTCAGTTATCACCGTGTCATTAGGACGTGTCCCAAGATTGGGTTTCTCGCCGGCAAATGAGTCTCTTCTTTCAGAGATTCCGGCTGTGGAGAGTCCAAGTTATGGCGTTAGGGAACATAAGCAAAGGGGAGGGATTGTGATTAGGGAACACGTTCTTGATTTCCTCTTGACAATGAATCATTCTGAAGAAGCAGATAATCCAGTGCCAAGATCGGTGTCAAATCTTGTTGTTCACATAATTGACACACATATTGATCACATCCAAGATGTTGTGACCAATCTTGAGATTGAACTGGATTCGGTAGAATTTGAGCTGGATGGAGGTATGTTCTTCTCATTCTCTATATGTGATCCAGGCCATATTTTTTTATCCCATTTTGTTGCTCCTCTACAGTGATGTATATAGATATCACAAGATTGCTATATGTTCTTCATTCATCTATAGTGATTCTTATGGTCAAGGAAAGAAATGATACTTGCAGTTTTTAAAATAAGCTCTAAGCTTTAAATTGAAAATCTTGAGTTACTTTCATAACATAGTTATTAATTTTAGTTAGGAAATTTGTAATTTATAATTTTGCTAGAAATTCAAGTGCATACAAGACTAATATTTCTGAATACTGTAGACAATTGATTTGAGCAATAAGTGATATTCAATATTTAACTACAATTTCGCTCTGTTCTTTCTCTTTCCTTCTCTTCTTCTTCCTTTTTTTTATCGTCATCAATTGGAATTAGTACTCATCCCTCTGAGAGAAACTTCCTATACTGTGTATGATCCCGTTCATGAAAGGTGCTGTTCAGAACATTGTTCACATCATTATCATTCTAATTAACATAGAAATGAAAGTGTTATAGCTCTTTAGGCATTTTATCTTTGGATTTAGGTTGAATGTCTAAATGGTATTATCTCTGCATCCATTTTCCTACACCCTTCTTCAATTTATTTTCATAATAAAATTTTATCACTAACCTATTCCATTATGTTCTGAAAAACCTTCTAAGATTCCGTTTATGGTCTTCCCATATGCTCTACCGTGTCAAAGTAGCCAATGAGAATTTTTCCTTTCCTCTTTATGTTGTGTGGGTGGGTGGTAGTGGTGGGGGTTACTCCAAAAAGTATTATACTAAAACTTGCAGTGTATCTCATCCCCGAATGCTCAGTCATAAAACCAGTTTTATTTTAGAAGCACTGAATTAGGAGTATGACATGGTAGTACTCTTACTTGGGAAAACTTTGACCGTAATACAGGAAATTTTGAAAAATAAAAATGAATTAGAACAGAATGACCTCTCTCATCTGTTCTACACATGGTTCATTATTGATACTTTAATTCATTATTTCTGGTTTTGAGTGCAGGTGGTTTTGCTTTGAAGAAGCAAATGTTAGATGATAGAAGGTTCCCAAAATTGCACATTGACTTACAGCGTCTACTACAGGTAGTTTACCTTTTCATACATTCTTTTGTTACCTTAAAAGGTTTGCTGAGATAATTTCTACTCTGTCCTTTCTAATTTCATATTAGATAAACCAACCTATCCTGCTAGGCGATAGCTAGTCTTATGAAGTTTTATCTGGTATAAGCAGACGTCAGACGTGGAACCTTGATATTGAAACATAGGCTTGGACGTTGATTTAAGGAATTTTTTGACATTGGTTTGGGATCTATGAGGCTACAATTCTCTGTTTTTCACGAGTTGCCGCAGTTCACTTAGAGCTATGGTTCGCTTGCTAATGTAGGTTTTCACTAAAACCGAAAAGAAAAAAGTTCACAATTTTGATCTCATACCTTTGGGTCTTCTCTCTCTCTCACACAGAGAAAAACAGACCCCTCAGGTTCCTTTATTTAGCTTAGGAAACTAGGGTGGCTTAATACAATTCTTTATCTGCAGCACTGGGGAGAAGCAAAGATCCAAATAGTTCAACAACCATAACTCCTCAGCGCCCTTCTTGGATCCAAAAAAGAAAAGCAGAAAAAATGGAAGGAAAAAAAGGGAACCCTGGGAGGCAAGTGGGGAGTGAGGGTGTTAGTGTGCGAGGTGCTGTGGACTCACTGTTTTGTTTGTCATTGATAGATTCCTTTACTGAACACTTGGAGAAAATAGATTTTGCATACATGTTGAAACGACAAACTGATATGTATTCGTTTATATCTGTCAAATTGTAGGTGATTGCTAATGGAGAGCAAGTATTTCCCCGAGCCAAACAAAATTGTTTGTTAAAGGATTGGTTTGGGGCTGAGGACATTAACTCCCTGGAAGAGTTAATTGGTCGACTAAGGAGACTGAAGGAGAACGTTGGATTTATAGCAAATCGTGTCACTGCAATTCAGGCTGGTCTTGATAGTTGGCAGGCCGAGCAAATAAATAGAAAATTATACTACCTCTCCTTCCTCTCCATCATATTTCTTCCTTTATCAATAATAACTGGAGGTCAGAATTTTGTGCAGAACTTCCCTTCCATATTCATGTTTGCCTAAGCTTAAGAAGAAACTTATTTTTAGTTAAAATGTACATATTTACTCACAAGTGAAGTTTTTATGCTTGACCAAACATGCTTAAAGAGTTGAATTTTCTAATGTTTTGTCAACAGTTTTTGGCATGAACGTGGGAGGAGTTCCTTGGACGGGGCAAAGGGACCCCGAGTTGAAGGATGGATTCCGCAATGTAATATTACTTTGTGTAGGAATGCTAGTGATCGTTCTTCTTTGCTTTATTTTCCCGGCTCTCTACAGTCGAGTGATGGCTTGGCAAAGAAGGCGAGCCTTAAGAAGAAGTTGGACTCTCAACCGGAAATCCTTCATTAAGAGAACAGTCAGTAGTGGAGAAAGAAAAGAAAGAGGAGGATACCTCAGGCTATAGGCGCTATAATATTCGTCTCATTTGTTCATCATTCGGAACCCTATCACACCCCGGATCTGATGAAGAATTGAGACTCCATTTGTTCAATATTTCCAAAGGATTCAACGAAATTGGGTCTAGATACACTTTGTTGTTACCATTTATTGTGGATATTCAGCTTTTTATTTTTATTTATTTTTTATTCACTCTCATATTTTGTTTACTACAGTTGAGGTGGTTCATGCGTGTTCTTCAATTGTGGTTAGTTAGTTGTACAAATATTTTTCTGCTTTATATGTAAATCATACACGACGATTCTATTGACGATTGTGTTGCATTGATGCTTGTAAATTTTGAACTCCGAGAGCTGTATTGCATTGTGAGCTATTCTCTTGAGATTTCTTTTCTAGTGAAATTCTATCATGTATATTGAAAAGTCGTGTTAACTGCATATAAGATAAGTTGGATTGGACCTCAACTATTTTTGGCCATTGGATCAAATGACATCCCAAAGAACATGGGGTATGAGTGTGTGTTTAGATTTCACCTGCTGAATATTCACTCTGTTTTTGGTTTGATATTCTCAGACATAATTTGACATGCGATGAGATTTGATTTGCTTCAGATTTTATAATTACATAATATTGAGAGAACAAACAAATGAAAAAGAAAGTGTATGAACACATCAATCAAGAGAGATAGCTTAGGTCTCATGTGACTCACTTAAGCAAGGACGAAGATGTCGAGTGTGGACAAATCGTAGGGCTCTTGAGCATAAGGGAATAGATTGCAGCTGGGTACAAATACGCAGGTTAAAGACGAGTATACAGGACACGACGAATCCTGCGAAGTGACACATGATTGTACCTATCAACTTAAATAGAAATAGAAGGCCCTTCTTGCGTTAGTTTTCAATAAGTTCGCTAATGCGCCATTTCTTCAGTTAGTTCGTCTTATCTATTTATCTCTTTTTTCAAGTAGATATTAGAGGATCTCCCTTGCTCATAGATCTTGAAACCAGAGGCGACTGTAATTAGTTAGTTGGGTCTTCTTGATGTTTGCAAACTACAAGGGTCATACAAATTATTTATTTTTAAAGCTTTGTTGAATATGAAGTTGTCTAAAAATATAAGATTTACTTGTCTCGTACTTATGTAAATTATGCATTTATCACGATTTAAAAAAGAAAATGAATTCTACTTGCTTTCGAGGGTGGAGCTACTATCTATTAGGATATATTTGTTATGTAATATTGAACAATATTGCTGTTTGCATGATATAATAAATAAAATTTTAATTTATTTTCTGTTAATATTATTCATGACATTAGTTGTAATGATAAAGTCAAATTAGTTATATAATAATAATATTATTTATTTATTTTTATCTAGGTGCATGAAAATTAAATTCATTTCGTTATGGTCAATCTTTTGATCTTGAAAATATGAATAAAAGTCAAAAACCTTTTAATAAGGAAAATGAAAGAAATTAGAAAACCATTAGCGAACGACGTCGTTCAATAGGTAAAATCAAATGCTTAACTTGGGCAACACTCCACAACTTCTTCATGTACTGTACGATAACACGGGCGATACGATATTTTCTAGAAGCTTCTCATACGCACCGTATTTCTCAAAAATTTCCTCATATATCATATATCGTAACTCGCCTGTGAAAAAGTTTTTCTCTGTCTAATATCTGCTCTCCCCCTCATAAACCCTAAACCGAAGCACCCAAAAAACCAGTCGCAGGAAGCTCTTTTCTCAAATGGCGACCGCCGTCCTCCTCCGATCCCTCCGTCGCCGTGAATTGACCTCCGCCCCTCTCTCCGCTTACAAAACTGTACTTCTCTATTTCACTTAACTCATTTTCTGTTTGATATTTTAATTATTATGTTTAATAAGTTACTTTTATGTTTTACTTGGTCTCTTTGTCTATGGGTACTATGGATCCATTGCACGTGGTTTTGTTTGTTTTCATTCCGAAGAGTTCTGCTGATTAGGGGAATAAAGAACGGAAGTAAAAAGCGAGAGAATTGCCTAATTTGGTTGCGTGTTTATATGCCTTTGTGGTTTTTATTGTCTCTAACTGTGCTCCTTTTAAACAAATTAGAAAGATCTTTCTCTGTATTTATGTAAGTCATCTGTTGATTTGAGCATTAATATAATTCTCCCAACATTCAGTTGTAGTTTGTTTAGACCGAATGTCCTGATTTACTCAGAGAATTTGATTTCTGGTACTAGAGAGATTCATCTCATCTTGGTTGCACTTAGCGGATACTTTTTCTACTTCCCCCTCTGTTTTGTTAGTCCCTGCCTTCTTTTGTTTTGTTATTTAGTTATTCATTTGTTCCAAGTGAACATCCGCTATTAGCATAAGTATCTCTACATATGTAGAAGCTCATTTGTATCATACATTAGGGGCTTGCCTATTTGCCTTGCAGAACTAGCTAAAGTTTGTTGAGATGTATCGGTAACTATTGTCGCATTTTTTCAGTTGACTGTAAACAGCAAGCCTTCCTGGGCACTGGGTAGAAAGTGGGCAGGTCTTGCAAGGCCATTCAGGTATATTGCATTTGATTACAGTTGCTCTTAGGCTTTATAATCTTGCCTTCTGGAAGTCAGCTCTAATTCTGTTCTTTATACAGCACAAAACCTGCTGGGAACGATGTGATTGGTATTGACTTGGGTACCACAAACTCTTGCGTTGCTGTCATGGAGGGGAAGGTAAAATTCTCTATTTACATTTGAATATATGCCTTATGCCTGTTAATGTTGGTATTCACTTCTTGTAAATCATTTTGTTTGCAGAACCCAAAAGTTATTGAGAATGCTGAGGGTGCTCGGACCACTCCATCGGTGGTTGCTTTTAACCAAAAGGGAGAGCTACTCGTTGGTACACCAGCAAAACGTCAGGCTGTCACCAATCCGACAAACACACTTTTTGGAACGAAGCGTCTAATTGGTAGACGTTTTGATGATCCTCAGACACAAAAGGAAATGAAAATGGTTCCTTTCAAAATTGTCAGGGCACCCAATGGAGATGCTTGGGTTGAAGCCAATGGGCAGCAGTACTCCCCAAGCCAAATTGGGGCTTTTATTCTGACTAAGATGAAGGAAACTGCAGAGGCCTATCTTGGCAAGACTGTAAACAAAGCCGTGGTCACAGTTCCGGCTTATTTTAATGATGCTCAAAGACAGGCTACCAAGGATGCTGGGAGAATTGCAGGCCTTGATGTGCAGAGAATTATTAATGAGCCTACGGCTGCTGCGTTATCCTATGGTATGAACAACAAGGAGGGTCTTGTTGCTGTTTTTGATCTTGGAGGTGGAACCTTTGATGTTTCCATCTTGGAGATATCAAATGGTGTCTTTGAGGTATACAAAATTTATGAGACAATTTCAGCAGTTCGTTCTATTTCCTGCTTGATAGTAACAACACATTTTCTTTTCAGGTGAAAGCCACCAATGGTGACACATTTTTGGGAGGAGAGGATTTTGATAATGCACTGTTGGAATTTTTGGTGAGCGAGTTCAAGAGAACTGAGGGAATTGATCTAGCAAAAGACAAGCTTGCTCTGCAGAGACTTCGAGAGGCAGCTGAGAAAGCAAAGATAGAGCTTTCTTCAACATCTCAGACTGAAATCAACTTACCTTTTATTACGGCTGATGCATCTGGGGCTAAGCATTTGAATATAACATTGACTAGATCAAAGTTTGAGGCTTTAGTGAATCACTTGATCGAGAGGACTAAGTCTCCTTGCAAGAATTGTTTAAAGGATGCTGGCATTTCAACAAAGGAGGTTGATGAAGTTCTCCTTGTTGGAGGAATGACCCGTGTACCTAAAGTCCAAGAAATTGTTTCAGAAATTTTTGGCAAGTCGCCAAGCAAAGGTGTGAATCCTGATGAGGCAGTTGCCATGGGAGCTGCCATTCAGGGTGGTATCCTCCGCGGCGATGTGAAAGAGTTGCTTCTTCTGGATGTTACTCCTCTATCTCTTGGTATTGAGACGCTGGGAGGCATCTTTACCAGGTTGATCAATAGAAATACCACCATTCCCACGAAGAAAAGTCAAGTAAGCACATGCGGCAGTTTATGTACAATTTCCTCGTTTTCCTTCATTGTGATGGCTCATTTTTACTCTATCGGTACTAAGATTTCTTTAATGTAGGAGGAATTTACACCTGCTTTTATGCAGGCTTTGTTATAATTGTTAGGCTTGAATTTTTTTGTTGGCGCTTCCTAAATGTTTTTTCTTTGTTTTCAGGTATTCTCAACAGCTGCTGACAACCAAACCCAAGTAGGTATTAAAGTATTGCAAGGAGAACGTGAGATGGCTTCTGACAACAAGGCCCTTGGTGAGTTCGAGCTTATGGGTATTCCTCCAGCTCCTAGGGGCATGCCTCAGATAGAAGTCACGTTTGACATTGATGCCAATGGAATGGTCACTGTTTCTGCAAAAGATAAGACCACTGGTAAAGAGCAACAGATTACCATTCGATCATCAGGTGGTTTATCAGAAAGTGAGATCGAAAATATGGTTAGGGAGGCCGAGATGCATGCCCAGAAAGACCAGGAAAGGAAGGCTTTGATTGATCTCAAAAACAATGCCGACACCACCATCTACAGTATTGAGAAGAGCGTAAACGAGTACAGGGACAAAGTTCCAGGTGAAGTGGTGTCAGAAATTGAGTCGGCTGTGTCAGAGTTGAGATCTGCTATGTCCGGGGAGAACATTGACGAGATTAAAGCAAAACTTGATGCTGCAAATAAAGCCGTATCAAAGATTGGACAGCACATGGGCAGTTCAGGTGGTGGTTCCTCTGAGGGTGCTCAGGGCGGCGACCAGGCTCCAGAAGCAGAGTACGAGGAGGCAAAGAAGTAGAGTTTTTTTTTTTCTCATTTGATATAACTTTATAGCAGGATAAAAATCTTAATTTTCCGTCATTGGATGGATTTGAAGTATTTTTGAAATTTTGTATTTTTAGTTCTTACCAACCTTTGGAAAGGTTTGGTAGTGCATCAGATGGTTGTAGGGATTCTTGTGATTTGCGTTGTATTCACGGGCACTACTTTGCCTACACGGAAAAGTTCGAGAATTGGGTTTCTTTCAGGTTACTTTGTCGTACGTACGAGTATGGGAAAATTCACAGGTATTAACTGTGGTCATTTCAAATTTCATGTTTAAAATTTCAAAATTCAGGTGATAAATAAATAATTTAAAATATTTTATTAATTAAATATATTAAGGTAACAATTATACCATTAATAGTCAGGTACTTACTTATATGTCACAATTTATTTATTAGTCACATATTATCAAATTAATTGATTACAAATAAAAAATTATATAGGTCAGAATTTGTTAATCGGTCACAAAACAAAAAATTAATTGGTCTAAAGTTATTTATCGATCACAAATTATAAATTTTATAGATCACAATTTATTTCACGATCACAAATTATCAAATTAATTGATCACAAATTATTTTTCAATCACAAATCATCGAATTATGTGGTCATAACTTACTAAATTCTCGTGGGAATTCTAAATTTAGTCACAATCACACATTCTTTTAGATCATAAATTAACCAATGTTCACAACATCCCAGTAATGATCACACTCTTCCTCCCTACTGCACCGTCGTTGCCACCATCACCACACCAACACCAACTCACCATCACTGTCGGCAACGCCATCACCTCACCACCACTACACACTTCGTCATCGTCACCCCACATTTCCAAAACCACCACCACCACCACCACACCCACAATTACCACAACAACCACACACTACAACAGCAGCAAAAAAAACCACCACAGTAAGCATCTACCACACAAATCACTATAACCATCGGAGAAATCAAACTCAGAAATTAAGAGAGAGAGAGAGAGAGAAGGAAATAACATATCTGTGCCACTGTGGATCGACCACTGTCGGATTAGAAGTAACGGCGTAGGCCGTCAGCGTCGTTGAGCACCAGATCGCGATGGCAATATTTCTCCAAATGGTCTTTCCCCAGATTTAACAAAATCTTCTTTTGTTTCTGTGTGCAGTGGAGACATTGCGGCAGAGGTGGAGGTGCGGCGTGAGAGCCGCTGCTGCACCGAGTCGTCATTATGTTCGAGACTTCGTCAAACATTTCAATGCGTCGATAGTCGCGACGAACAACTCTGAGAGCCTAGTATGAAGGAGCGTCGCTGCTGCGCCTTGAATAGTAGCAGGAGTGGATGAGCCGTCGAGAGTCGTCAGAGTGATTGCACCGTGAAGAGTCACCGAGTGTGAACTATGGATTGAAAATGATTTATGGACTTTGCTACAAGTACAGGGATTCAAAATCCCTGTACTTACAGCATAGACACAACATTTGGGGGGGATATTTTTTTTGTTCAATATTTTATACATGGGTCCACTCTATGTGAGTGGAAATTCAAAATTCTGGTAAAAGCCTAGTAAAATTCATCTGTACTTGAAGCATTTTTCATGATTTATTGGATAGGGTGGATGGGTTTGGTGGGTGGGGATATGTAAATATATTTACTTCTATAATATTTTTATTATTTATTAATTACCTAATTTTCGCTTAGCCCCTATTTGGGAGCCCTTCTTCCAAAATTATAATTAAGAAATTCGACTGTTATATAGTCAACGGGCCCCACTTTGACAGCCATGTTTGACTGTTTTATCTGCATTCAGTAAAAATTTTGATGAAAAGATCATGATGCCCCTAGCTTGTTACATTCAATATTCATAAGCAGGACAATTTTGACATTTCAAAATAGAAAAAAGAAAGTTGCCATTTTTTTTTTCAAATATTGCGACTGGATCACTATTAATCGAACTGTTGCAACGTTTATATTTTTTTTATTAAAATGTGGAATTAATGGCTCCCAAACAGGCTGTTAATTAAACTTCTCACATGATTTAAGAATAGCGATCTTTAAAATCATGGTGGGATGTAATTTCCACTAATAATATTTCTTTTGGGTGTTTTGATGTTGAAGGGGGTTTTTTTGAGACAAAGCATGCACGTTCATTTTGCACGTTAAGCCCTATTTGACAATTATTATTTTCAAACTTTCTTTTTTATGTATTTATTTTCAATTAAATAGTCACGCAATAAAATATTTTACACGTAAATTCAAAAATTTTCTTATTTTTTAACCATATATTCTTTTAAAAATCACTATTTAATATAATGATTTTCAAACATGGGCTAAGTTTGACATTTTATTCTGTGTCATGGCAATTTATTTGAGAACCATGCTACAAATATATTATATATATAACCATTTTATTGGTTTTATTCAAAACAACAAAAAAATTGCACTATATAGGTGCTACCAACTCAGTGCCTATATGGTGCATGTGAACAATTCCTTGATTGCGAGGAATTGTTCTTTGATTTGAATAACACTTTTTTAAATCAATGTCCATGATTTGAATGACACATCAATGGATGTCAAACTAATTGTACAAAAAGAATGTACAATTAGTTTAATTCTTCTTGTGAACCTTACACAAAGTCGTTTAAAAACTAATTTTGAAAGGAAAATTTATAAAAAATACCTTCTATTTAAGAGTTTTTACACTTTACCCAGAGTATTTTTTCCGACGTAATTAAAAATAATAAGTAGCATCCTCTTTATTACATTATGTAACACTTTATATATCAAATTTTTTTTTTTGAAAAAATTAATTTGCGTGTTCTAAAAAATCAATTAGTATTTCATTTTTCATATAAAAATTATTACTTTCTTCATCTCATAAAGATAAGTTTATTTTCTTTTTTGTCTATACTCGGATTTTTTTTTATTTTCTAATATGCTCATATTTAAAGCGCTTTGCTATTAACAAATATGAACTACTCTTTAAATCATTATTTTCATTTAATGTATGGTATACTAGAAAAAATATAAAAATATATTTTTTTTCAACTATATTAATTATATTTTCTTATCTATGTGAAAATAGGAACAAATCTACATTACGGGACAAATGTAGTATTTCTTTCTTATTCTTCTCTCTATAAATTAATATTCAGTTCAGTTTTTTTCACTTCATATATTATATACACTTTTTTTTTTCATTTTCATTTTTTTACACAAAATCGTATATCATTATGAGTTATATTTGTAATATACCAACAAAATTACGCATGTATTCTTAACGACTTTTTAAGTTCAAAATTAGCCCAACTTAAAACGAATTAGAAATTGAATTTTAACTATGAAATAACATCTAAAGTCAACAATTATTTTAATTGATTATTCAATGAACAAATTTTGTTATTTAAAATATACTAGGAATTTTTATTTGTTTTCACAGTAAAAATTGAGTGTTTATTTTTCCAAAAGTGCACATAGAACACCGAAATTCTCAACTGTGACAGCAATCCAAATCAATCATTAAACAGAATTTTAAGAATGCTAATGATCTTAAGACAAGTGAAAAATGTAAATTAGATGCTAAATTATGGCTAAAAAAAACTGTACAAGAATCTCATTAGCTCTATGCATTTTTCTTGTTTCTCAACCCTAATCTTTACAGCTAAACTGACCTTTCAAGGTAACAAACCAAAATTTGGGAAACATGAATATCATAAACCAGTGGAGTTCATTGAAGTCTTCTTTCTTGAATAATCCACGTCACTGCAAGATCTTATACTCTGTGGAGATCACTATCCAAACTTCAAATTTCCTCATATTCTCATACAGAAGCTGCAACCAACACAAACTGAAAGATGAGTTATGATTGTCAGCCCATCATCATATGCAGAGATACAGAGAAATGAGGAAATTATGAAAACCAAAATGATGTTTATGTACCTCAACAAGAAACATTCTATTGGACACAAACACCACTGAGGCGAAATCGAAATAGTTCGATCCAAAGCCAGTTGATTTTTAGTAAATTGCTTAAACAAAAATGTCAGGACTGCACATCATCTGCATCAGAGTCACTACCAGAGGAACTCCCAGAATCAGAATCTGTAAAAGAAAGCTCAAACTAATGAGCACTCCATGAACAATGTCTTTTGATACCGGAATTCCAAGGAAGAAATTCCTCAACACAGTGTAGAAACGCAAGAATCAGTACCACTGGAAGATGAGGAACTGCTACTTGAGCTGCTGGAACTGCTCGAGCCACTAGAGGCATTACCATAATCACGGTCTTGATCATGACCAACTTCTCCACCTCCTTCATCCTTCTCAATCTCCACGGGAGGAAAGTGTGTAGCAGGCATATCATCGTCAATGTCCACATCCTCATCCTCGTTCTTTTTAGGCCTATTTTCCAAATCATTCCCCTCGCCCATTGCAATCTAAAATATATAAACAGCACGTGAACTTCAATAGTTCCCAAATGCAAATCAGGGAATAATAATAATAATTCAGTTTATTCAGATACAAATGAAATGTGAATAAAGCATTACCGCATCAGCCTCAGCAATGGAAGAAGTCGTTGCGGCAGGTAAATTGTTGTTCGTCATTAAAGCTTGCCGCTTTGTCTTGCTCACCATCTTCTTCCAGTTAGTCACGAACCGATCAAGTTCCCAAAGAGTCTCAGTATCAAGGGCTTCAATATCGAGCTCAATTTCATCGCCTTCTTGCGCCAAATGTTCATTCCTCTTCCTAATAATCTGAACCAATTGTGGCATTTTCTCTTGAGGTAAACTCTGCAACCCAAGCCCAAGCTTATGCTTTTCTTCCATACTCATATCCCTCTTATTTAGATCCTTCGCCCTGGGCTTTGGCTGCTTCACTGTTGGCCCACTTCCCACTTTCTGTTCCATTACTGGCGGGGGATCTATCACAGGAGAAGGGGTTTCCACTCGAATTGGTTGATCCATTGGCTGAGGAGTATGATAGGAAGGCGTCGAAGAGCTGGAATGTGTATGCATTGGTGCTGTCTCAGGTTTCTTTAGCATTTGAGGAATTGGAACCGGACCTGTCCTCGGTTTTTTTCCCCCCATACCAGGGGATGCAATAATCTGATTATTATTATTCCAAGAACTGCCTTGCAATTCTTCATTAACCGGAAATTGCACTTCATCATTAGCCCGAAATGCTTGGAATTCTCCCTCTCTACTTAGCATGTAAAAACGGTCAATCTTTTCTTGAATCGGCCTAAACAATTCCTCAAATCGCGCTAATAGCTGCTCCGCCAGACCATGGACCTGATCGGTCTTCGGATTATACAACAAAGCATTATTAAAAGTCAGTCTCACATCTGCGGCAAACTCAAGCGGCGAAGGATACAGATCCTTGGCAAGAATTGACTTTACCGTCCCGAGATCCATAGGCTGCTTCACAATCTGATGATAATCAAGAAGCCCCCAGCCCGCTGCATCAACAGGTGTATTGAAAAGCCATCCATTCTTGCGTTTCATCAATTTAGTCAAAATCTGCTTGCATTGTTTCAACATATCCTGGTAATTAATCACAGGCTCCAAACCAAAATTTCCATTATCTAATCTACTGGACAGCACCTTAGGATCCTTATTAGATACGAACGAAGCTCCAGGCCGCTTGTTGCCTGGCAATTTCTTTGATTTCCCACTAGATCTTGAATGATTGTTGATGTTGAATTGACCCGAATCTATTTGGGAACGGAACTCTCGGATCTGTTCAAGCTCCACAGCCAAGCGTCTGCGGAGCTCGAGTATTTCGGATTTTGAGCACGATGAGATATTGTAGGTCAAATATTCGCCATGATTGAATCCGCTACGGCTTGTCGAGGTCTGGTTGAAGGAGTAAGCATCGTCGGAGGCAGTTTGCGTGACGACGGGGGAATCATCATTATAACGTCCGGCGGAACCTCCGTTGGTGGCAACATGGTGGAATTGCTTTTGCTTTTTCTTCGGGTTCGAATTAGGGTTAGGGTTTGCATTTAGTCGAGAATTGGAACTCGAAATCTTCTTCCCCATGCGGACCCAGCTAGATTCATTCTGACCAGCAAACAAAGCAGACGCCATAATTGCAACGTCGCAGCTCAGCTCCGGCTAATCGCCAACAAAATCTATCCAAAAACATGTATAATCACGACTCAAACGCCACGCGCTTACTGGAATCTTCGCCGAACTTAAGAACTCCGATCACCAGTTGCCGGCCGTTAACCGTGGAAAGACGGGTACGAAAAATCGTGCGTGTGTGGAGATTGGGTTCTGGATGGATTGAGCGAGGATTGAAGTGGGATCGCAGGCTTCTTAAAGGCGGTGAGATCTGCCCAGAAAAATTAGGGGCAGTTTTTGGGCCGTTGATTTTCTAGGGATAGATTATCGATGGGTGGAAATCAATTTCTTTGCAGGCTGACCGGGACACCAATCATGGACGGTTAGATGGAACACACGGTTTGCGTGACATTATCTGAAGCGTCGGATTAGAGTTTAGGTTTTGGGGTGAATTTGGGTCAAGTTGCGGCAAATTTAGGGTTTCGTTGGAGTCTGGGCCCCATATAGTAACCTGGATGGTAAAGTAGTTATTTAAAGAAATTTCGTGACGTGTCAGTTAGATTCCATCAATGGCCGTTGGAATTATATTCATCATAAGAATAAAGAATAAATTTGCTTGGCAACGTGCCGTCGCCATCCAGGGGCACCACATGGTGCCCTCCTATTGGTGGAGTGATTAGGACATTCATTGAAATTTACTATGCAAAACGTTCCACATTGTATTTTCATCTCGATTTACCGTAATTGTAACCCAGCAGTGATGAATAACATTACTCTTTTTGAAAAAGTAGAAACGAGTTTTTATCAAATTATTTAAAAATAAAAAAAAATCTCTTTCTTTGCCTCCATCTTCTTCTTCTTCCTTCTCATCCTCCTCCTCAACCGCCGCCGCCGCCGCCGCCACCAACTTTTTTCCCCATCCAATCCCACTTTTTCTTTCCTCAAATACGTTCAATTCCCCATCTTGCATCAAAGAGGATATTAATTCCCCTCCCGTTTCCAACTCTCCACCGCAATTCTTGGACCAGCAATTCTTTGTCTGAGATAATACTTTTCCACATTGCAAAAGCATCCACTCTTGCAGCCTCCAGAAAATCAGGAGGAGGAAAATATTTACCCTTTAACACATGAGAAATTCCATTTACCAGCAACCTCCGTGACAATTTGGCTACCAGAGCATGAAAAACAGTTCGAGATTTCGGAACACCGAACCTTCTGCAAACTTACTTTGGCAAACAACATCCCACAAAACCCAGTTAATTTTGTTTACTGCTACATCACCATCCCAATGTCCCATGTCCCTGCAAAGTGATAGAGACAATCGGAATAGATTCATAAAATAAGTTGGGATAGCTTGGACAATTGATTTGATCAGGACCTCACGTCTCCCAGCAGAGCTCCGCTTCCACCATTTGGCTCCTCCTCCACTTCTCCACCGCAGCCACCACTTCCATCCAGCCCTACTTTTATTATTCGAACCCATTGATGAAAATGATTATTTGCATAATGAAAGGTGCGAATAAGAGTGAAAAATGTCAAAAAAAAAAAAAAAAAAGAGGGCAAGATTGTGGTGTTTTGCACAATGAATTTCAAA